CAATGGAGATTTCTGGTAGAAAATTGGATTTAATTGGTAAATTTGGGAGGTAAAAATTAAATATTCACATCAATTTTCATACTAATTAGGGGGAAGGTAAAAAATACAAAAATTTAATAGAAATTTAAAATTAGAATGAATTGACCAATTATAAAATTCAAAGGTACTAATAAAACTGTTATCAAGAACATCTCAGAGGTTTTTATAGATACCTATTTTAATTTTTAAGCTTATATTATAATTATTTTAAAATGTACAAATAAATCATAGTTTCAAAATGCTCATAACTTGCATAATTAAAGTATCAATAAAAGCCTCCGAAATTTGTTATGTGTACCTACGTTTATAGAATGGAGACAATAATACGCGTGAGTGTGCGGTCTCTTAAAAATTGTGTAGCTAAGTCTATGTTGCGGTTTACTCGACGTCAAATCATCGTTTTCGATATTTATTATAAAATAATTTTAAAGTTTGTTTGAAATATTAAATAATTAGTTGCCTATAGCTAAAATATAAATAATTATATTTTATTTTTGTTTCGTTTAGTACATAACATTTTCTACATATCTAGGTTCTGTTATCTCAGGGATGGCTAACCCGCAACCCGCGGGCCGCATGCGGCCCACCTTGGTAAGTTTTGCAACTCGTGAGATTTATCAAACATCATTAAATAATAAATAGTGAAATAAATTAATTAAAACTATCACTATATTATCTTTGTTAATAAATTTTGTATTTATTTGTATTAATATTAATATAATTTTATATGCGCCCCGCTGAACACAATTACCTAACCAATTTTAATAAAAAATAAAAAAAATATGTGGCCCGCGGGGTCGTAATATATTTCCAAAGTGGCTCGCAAGATCATTTGGGTTGGCTACCCTGTATTATCTACCTATCTACTTAAAATAAAATGTCATCAAAATATTTTTGTTATAAATTAAATTATAAAAAAATAAATGAATGATAAATGTATGTATTATATATTATATTTCCTAAAATAATTTAATTAAAGCGTAAAAAAATTTCAAATGCGTAACTTGACACTAGTCTATATGGTTTAAACACTTGAAATTATTGTGCCGTATATAATGAATTATCTCAATCGTGGTTCATATTTTTTCAGGCATGTCATCATGGGATGAATTCGGTAGACACATACCATATAACCTATTTTTATTCACTTTTTTGCTTCTTCTTTCTAAATCTCTGCACCTATACCCATATTTAGCTATTTTCCATATCTATATATACAGGTTGATTTACCAAGCTTACCTCAATTTGTCCTTTCATATTGAATAGAAATATTAAAATATTGATTTTTGGAAAAAATGTTTGAAACATTTGAATGTCTAACTGATATGCGATTAGTTAATAATATATTATTAGGATTAATAAATAATAATTTATTAGACAGAATTTTTCGATATTTTCCTGATGTGGATTCTGGGGAATTTTTAAACCTTTTTATTGATAATGGCAAATCTTCATTCATAAATATGTATAATATATTCTAGCAGCTGATCCTTTTATTATTTCAAAATTTGTAATTTTTTTTTTTCAATAATTTTAAACCTTAAAAAAAAATGATTTTTTTAACAAGAATATAATTTACTATTAGCTTGACTATAATTATTAAGAAGAAAGTAAATTTCAATTATTTTTACCATAGTTTTTTGAAAAAAATTTCATAACGACTTGTTTTTCTTTTAAAAAAAAAATATTGTTTTGTAATGACTTAAAATTATTTAAAAGAAATATTTTCAATTATTTTATTATTTTCTAAAACTGTACAAGTACATTTTTTTTTAAATCAATTAAATTAAGTTAAGTTAATATAATAGAAAGTTAAATTAATTTTTTAACAAGTTAATGCACAGATTTATTATGAAGTTTTCTGAAATAATATAACTCACGAGTTTTACGTTAAATCGATTACCCCACATAAAATATTATGTTATATATTATTAAAATATTGTACTTGTTATACTATATATTCAGCGGTGAATTTATATTATAATAAAGGTCACAGAGATCACAATTTACAATCCGACCGTGTAAAGCATACTGTTGTAGGACCGGGATATAGATTTGCCCCGGTGTCTAATTAGAACCAAATGCCAGTGTGGTGGCTGCGGAATATCGTCTGTTGTGTTCTATACAAGTGATGTAGGTACGACCGTGGCTGTGAACTATGCACACTATATCACAATGTATATGGTATTATATACCTATATAATATGATATGTACGTTATATCTTATATACACGAATACATGGTGGAATAAGAATATTAAAAACGCCGCTACTACAGTTGAGTTGTGACGGGGGCGCACATAAATTTTGGTTCGTTTTCAGCTCATTAAATACGTTTAACGATTGCGCTGGCTGCACACACGGGACAGACATTGTTTTTAATGATCTTTCAATATTATCTTCCCTTTATATTCGGTCCGTCACCGCTTTAATTAACTCACTATGGTAAATAATAAGTCCATAATATATTGTCATTGCTGCACACGTATTTATTATTATATACATTTATATGTCTACACCAAGTCATAAATCATAATCGATTTTGTATGTCTATATATAGTGCGATGTATATACAGAAGTTTTTGTGAGGTTTTTTGTGTCTTATATGGATAATTAGGAACACTATCGTTAATATCCGATTTCAAAACAATAACAGTGTAAAATACGCGTTTAAAAAAAAATCACTTCCCGACTACAAATTTTCTATTAAGTACTTTAACAGGAAATATACTGTATTATGTATAAAGAATAACTTATATAGTATGCTGACTTCACGACTTATCATTTAATAATTAATGTTTCAGTATACCTTCTTAGTGAATTTATAGTCAGATATAAGATTTTGTAAAACATTGTCCTGTGGGTTATAACAATACCAATTTATTTTTTTAATTAAGAATTTTAGAGATTCACCTTTTATTTCTGTAAACTTCTTAAGAGGATAATTTTTGTTGAAAATATTTTATATCAAAATCAAGATTTGAATTGGTATAGTTTTTGAGTTATTTAATTACCTACTAATTAATAGTGTTGGGCAACGATATAATTTTGTGTATCGATATCGTTCAGATTTTTCCGATATTTTATCGCGATATCGTTGTTTGTACGATATCGATATCGTATCGAAAATATAATTTTATGTTTACCTAAACAATTAAAAAAAAAACTTTTCGTAATAATTTGATTATTAATCAGTAATCACTATACAATGTTAGAAATGTTCGAAAAATAACGGACGTTTACATCACACCGACGACACAAATTACACTGTGAATTATGGAATATCCAGTGGTAGTGTGGTACTATACCGTATTCCTCTTAAAAGCCAGCTAAATATAATATTCAATAAAAGTTATAACATTGTTGGCAATATAAAAAAAACCTGTTTCCTTTTTAGATAACATTATAATGGATTATTAATAGTGTACAATAATTGACATTTCACTGGAACACGCGTAGTGTACACCAAACGTTATCAGCTGACACCTATTATTATTTATTATAGCTTAAAACCTACAAATAGTAAATACTAAATAGTAAATACCATGTATTTTTCTTGAAAAATATTATTTTCGATATAACGATATATCGTACAATACAAAATAATATCGATGTCGATAATTTGTCACGATATCGATATCGTATCGAATTATCGATATCGTTGCCCATCACTACTAATTAATATTATTTAATGTATGTTAACATTTTATAAAAATGTTTGAGAATAATAAGTATTAGATTAAATATTAAGTAAGCATTTATATTATTTATAGTTTGGTTCAGTAAACATTTTTAAGGATTATTATACTTAGTATCTGGCATATACATTTTATTAATTTCGAAACTATTTATTTGAATTATTAGGCATTTAAATTTAGATATATGTAGATTAACATCTACATCTTAAAAATAATTATCTGCTTGATAATTGACAGTAAAAAAAAAGTTAGTTTCAATTTAAAAAAAGCATGTATCGCCAATAGGATATTCATTAAACGACGTAAGATTTAAAAATATGGTTTTTTGAGTATTCAAAAATATCATAGATAAAAATTTGAATAAATTTATTACTAAAATGAAAAATGAAGACGAGCATGAATCAATCTGAATATTATTCATATTTGAAAGTTAAAAAAGAGAAAATAAAGAAAATTTCCAATGTACATAAATATATAATATGCAATCATCACGCATAAAAATCGTTTTGTATCATTTTTGACAAAAATTGTATCATTAAATATTCTATAAAAAATATGACAAATGAATTATTCTAAATTTCATTGAGTAGAAAATTCTAATATATAACCGCCGAAATTATTATAAAATACTAAGTATACCACATCACTGTTATATCATTATTTGTTTAATTTGTTGTCTTATTAGTATTATACATTGACGCCGTTTAATAGAATCAAATTTTGAACGCTGCTATGTTACATATTTATTTTTATACGTAATTTAAATAAAATTATTTTCCCCTCTTTTGCCAATCGACGCATTATTGTTTTTTCAACCATAATTTTTATTCATTGGCAGAAGTTTTATTTTGTAAGAAATGGCTGGATGGTGTTGATAAATTTAGCGCTTTTCAGAATCATAAAAGGCCCACAGGAAGTCAACATCATCGGTCACGTCCGGTTTAATATTTTGTCCCCTCCTTTTTTCGGATTTTCGTCTACGCGATAAACACACGCGAAATGCAATCGATTGATCTGCCCCCAGGAATGGTGAGACGCGAATGTATTTTTAGACACTATTACTAATCTGAAGGCATGTGAACGGCCTCTTCCCACCCAACCACAGTAGCGGACGAGGTTTTGCAGTAATCGAGAAAAAAATTGTCCACACACGTATAGAAAAAATAAACTTAATAAAAAATATATTTATACACTGGTGACTTTTTGTACAAAAAAATAATAATAAAAATAAAAATCGATAAAAAAATATCTTAACGTTTAAAAAGTATAAAAACTAAACATAGTTTTGAATTTAATATACATAACATATACTAAATAGGTACATATATATATGTATATGCAAAATTGCAAGAGGAAATATTTAGTTGCATATATAAATACTTTTCGATGTCCAAACACCACCATCCCGTATGCTAACATAAATGTTAAAATTTTTATTCTTGATTGACGTTGTTCCATTCGCCTTCCATTCTCCACACACTAAACGCATAACTCAATTGCTCATGAGCAACGTAAGTGCAAGATCCAGTACCGGAAGATCCTTGTTCTAGAAAAGCAAATTTAATAATAACATCAATAAATGAGTAAAAATAAAAATTTAAACACTTAAAACGCATTAAGAATGTATTGCATTTTAATTTGATACGCATTTAGCTGTGATCTTATATCTATTTGAATACTTCTTTTAAACTTGTGTTTTAATATATTTATATTAACTTTAATTATAATTATCAACAAACAATGTTCGATATACAAGTTAGGGTATACTGGAAGATGGTATATTCTTATTCTTTAAGAATTTTTTTTAAAACACCAGATATCGTATCTATTATTGATTATTTTATCAATAATGATTATAGTGATTTATTAAAAAGTATATTTACCATACAGCTGGCCGATAAACAAGGTTCTATAAATTATTATTAATACATACATACATACACACACACACACACATATATATATTTAGTGTTTCAGTTAGCACTGTTGTATACTAATGATCGTTGTTTTTGAATATTATTGTAAAAGGCTAAATCATTAAGTTTATATTACTAACGTATTACTTAATTAATATTATTGAATGGTATTGATTTTCTTAAATTATACGTTTTCAAAAATAATATAATATAAATGTTTATTTCAAAATTAACTTTGTTCTTATATAATTTATAAAATAGATAAATATTATTTTTTATGACGAAAGGACATATATTTTACGGTAGGGTTGGGAGGGTAGGTTTAACGGATTAATAACTTATAAAAGATGACGGGGACGCCCTTTTTAATGTAAACCGAGTGTCTTAAAATTTTGTTTTGCCAATTTAAGTATATTCTACAAATATTAATGTATTACAATTTCAAAAATTATAAACATTTCTTAATAATTATAATTAATGCTACTGATTAATTATTATTAATTATTTTTTTTAACATTACTGACCATCTAGGCGACTAACTCAACCTTTGCTATCAATATTATAATTTCTTTCATTCATCCCTGTAAAGCTGAAATGTACTAAATTTAAGTCCCAATTCCACTTTAATCTTAGTTTCATTTCATTTTTTCTTACTACTTGCTATATCTAACCATCGTTGCTTCGGTGGACTACGTGGCTTTTTTATTTTTATAGTTCACGAGTTCTGTCTTAAGTAAAAACTCTTAACTATACTATTTTCGGTACTTTAAACATGACATCTCATTCTATTATGGATCTTTTTATTTCACCTCTTATCATTTTAATTATAATATACATTATTACAAATATATTTTACCTAATCGCTATAATTAAAAAATCATATGATATATTTAATTTTAATTTTATTAGTATCTATATATAATAGATTATATAAACAAACGTTATACCTACATCATAATGATTCAAATGATTAAAATATGTACAAAAGAAGAGCAAGAATATTTAAAAAATATATTTTTATCTTATTATAATTTACAGTTCTGACTCATAATTTTATTGGCATTTTTCAAATAAATATTATTTTCATAGCTCGTAATATATAAGTACCTATCGAAACTTCTTTTACACTGGATGCATAAACTGTTTACTTTATTCTGTTGGTTACACTTACTATAAACAAACAACATTTAAACGCATTAGTATGTTTATCAGTGAAAATAAATTTCAGATTATTGCCAGAGATTTAAGTTTATTTATGCATTGTATTAATTTTAAATTATAAATATTTTTTGTGTAGGTATTAGTTATAATTCGTTATACTTATAACAGGGATGGGCAATTCAATGTTACTAGAGAGTCAATTTTTTGAAAATGAAAATCTAGCATGTCAATTTTACGTTTTTTAACAGATATTTTTGAAACACTATATTTTAAACGCGAAAATAATAAAACCAAAGCAATCGGCCAGCATAACACGATGGATACGACTAAATTGATAATCTATTAGCTATGTTAACTATGCTTGTATAATAAATAATATAATATTAAGATATTTTATAGTCCAATACTAGATAAGAGTTTATATCTATGTTTTACAATAAACATTATACCGATTTTATAAGTAAAATAAAATAAAATAAAATACAGAAAAATCCTAACATTTAATATTTTTATAAAGTAATTTGAAATGTAGCATGGCCAGTTAAAAATGGTAAGCGCGCCGGATGCGGTCCGTGGGTCGCCAGTTATCCATCTCTGACTTAAAATGATAAAATATTATTTTTCATATTGTATATATATTATATATAAGTGTGATATACCTTATTTCTACACATTGGTATAAGTGCACGATAGTTTAACTCTATATTCAAATTTATTTATATTGTATTTTATTAATTTAAGATGGCAATGCCCTTTGTAAAGAGATTAGGTACATACCTATGCATATAATTTAAAAAAATACAAAATAGATATATAAGTTCGCACGAAATTACATGGCAAAAACAAAAAAAAATCTATCAAAATTATTAGAATATAAACAAAATTTATAAAATAAGGTTAAATGATGAAAAATAGATTAGTATTCGCGTTCGATATTATTACACTAATCACCTAAACGGCTCATTGGCTAAATAATTGGTAGGAGCGTGGGAATATAAAAAATTGGGTAAAAGTAAAGTTTATTAGAATAGTTTTAATATACAGTTGTATATTTTTCTTTCAAATATAAACGATAAGAAAAAATTACTTTAACAAAAGTAGAAGTTATCGTGTTATATCTTATTATTGTTATATTATGTTATATCATCAACGTTTTATATACATAAATTGAAAAACACGAAGATATTATTTTAGTCTACCTCTTTCAGAATACTATATACTCCTCGTAAAACCCTAAATCGTGTCAAACGTGACTTTTTTCTTGTTTCACAATAATGGACCGCATGCTGTAATTTTTTTCATTATTTATTATTATTTTGGAAATCGACTGTGACAGTAAAGGGACGTCGTCGAAACAGATAATCCTATTGAATAACAACTATACCCATGCATATATTGACTTGAATGTGCCCTCGCGGATTAGACTCGTAGCGTAATTACCTAAGAGTTTGACTAAGAGAATACCCAAACATATATTATTGTGGTATTATTGAAGACTTGAGTGACAAATTACATCCGTAAAATCATGAAAATAATAATAATAATAGAAATGTTTCTATTTAAAATATGAATTTTCGATAGCTTATTTTTGTAACAGATTGAATAAACAAAAAAAAAAAAAAATTCGATAGGAACATTCAAAAGCAATACTACCGACGTGTGATGTTGTATATATTATGTTAAATATTTATATATTATATTATATTTACAATAAATAATGCTTATATGAAACGAATAACAATATGTCAATAAGAAAATTCATCTTATAAATTTTCTCTTGAGCTTAATCATGATATAACAAAAATAATATTAATAAATCATATTTTATAATTATTTAGTTACATTAAAAATTTGTTTTATGTCTCAATAATATTAGATGAGTAATGAATAAATTGCAAAATAATCTTAATAATATACTTGTTATGAAGATCATTTAATTTTTTTGAATTATTAACTTTAATTTGTAATTATTTTTGTTGCGTAAACATTCAGCAGTAAGCAAATGTAATATTTTTTTTTATTCTTGGATGATAAATATTCAAAAATGTTAAGTTTCAAAATATTAACTTAATTAAATATTTAAGCATTTATAATTATAGCATCTTACTATTGTGAATATATGTATAGTTTCAGAGTTTCATATTATTTAGGCATAAAACCACTAATTTAATCTTCGCCAAATATATTTTTTATTACGTACGAGTATACGAAATTATAGTGTTTTCTTATTTTATATCCGAGACAGTTAATAAACTACTCGCTTCTGTAAAAATATTTAAAAAATTGGGATATGCTAACAAGAGCCGGTATATTAATTATTAATTACTAATAAATTAGGTACATTTGTTCTGGCTTATATCATTATTCATAATTATAAGCATCCAAAACTAATTTTTCCATTTGTAATGTGTAGGGCCAGGAATTTGATGCATTTACATCTTTTTTCTAATGTGTTTATACGAGGCTTATCTTTACAAAAATGTAACTTATGTTATTTAAAATTTATTGGAACCATTTTTATCTTGCATTTTTCGGTAATTTTTGGCTGTACGGTAATTTTTTACTTATTTCGATGCATTTTTGTAGAAATATTTGCAGTTTTTACATTTTTATTTAATATTATTTTGACAAAACTAAATATTTGAAAAAACTAACATATTTTATAGCTCAATCCTTCAGTTATTTTTCTAAAAATATCGATTTATTTTTTGTAATTATTTTGTATTACTAACATTATTTCTTACTTCCGTTTTAAATTTAATTTAGACCTTGTAGTCTGTCAAAAAAATATATTAGTTTAAATTTAGATGAATAAAATAATAAATTAATAATTTAAAAATGATGAATTTTTGATGATTTATTATTAAAAAATGTAATTTTTGAAAATGTTTGGTTATTTTTTGGTATTTTTATGGTAATTTTTTAAGTCATTTTAATACTTTTTTCTAATGCACGTTTTAAAAATTTGTAGTTCATCAAGTTCCGGGCTTTAGTAATATGTAAATAATATATGAAATAATATCATTCTGTGGTTTTTATTTTTTAATATATATTATCGTTGAAAAATTATGTGATTTTTGTTTTCACAAGAATAGTATACATATATCAGTAAAATTTAATAAATATATATAATTTACTTTGAATACATCTTATCTTTTATAACTGCAATCATACATACATATTACATATCGTACAACTATTTATAGAGATCACAGCAGTTATGAACTTCACACTCCTTAAAGTCTCTTAGGCGATATACTCTCAAATGCATCCTTTTCTCACGATACTAGGTAGTAAATATATATCATTTATAGTCTTATTTAAAATAATAAAACACTTACCAATGGAGTGTTGTGAATCTGAATCAACATGTCCCACCATGGGCACTTCTTCCGTGTTGGCCTTGTGCAGTACCTGGTATAGGAAGTCAATGTACCGCGTGGCTAACTTCAATGTTTGGATTTTCGATAGTTTGTCAGAAGGGAGCGTGGGTATAATCTTCCGGAGAGACGCGAACGCCTCGTTCAAACTCTGTGTCCGCTGTCGTTCCCGTACATTGGCCATCACCCGCTGGCTTTGCATCTCTTCGGGGGTCTGTGGAGATCGTCTCCTCGATTTCAATGGTGTTTGAATTTCTTTTGATCTGGACGATCGTTTTTTTCCTACGATATGAAATATTTTTAGTCATATATGTACTACTCAACATCGTATTTGTAAAGTTTACAGCCATGTAACAATAGTGTGGTGAAAATGTTGAGAAGGTATATATATATATCATTTCTATATAAATTATAATAATGCGCTGTCGCCGTATTTTTTAACATGTTTTTTTATTACCTGTGCAATTTATCAGTTATAGATGATTACAATATTATAACTCACGCAGAAGTTTCGAGAAAATGTTTTCATTACTATATTACAATAATTTTGGACTTAACTATTTAAGGTTAAAGTCGTTTTAAACTTTAAACTTATTACTTATAGCAGAGGATATATTGTTAATGAATATTCGTAAGAAAAGTTTTATTTATAAAGTAGAACTATTTTTGATTTTAATTTTTATAACAACATTTTTTTTATACACGTTAAGAGTAATAAATGTTAATCCATTAAAAAAAAAAAAAATTATAAAGCAAGACATAACATTTGTTTATAACCATTATGAACTTAATAATATGTATTATTTTCCAGTAATTTAGTTTTAAATTGTCACTTTTTTATAAATGATTGTTTTGTGAGTATAATTATATTTGGTGCTTTAATCATATATTATACAAAATATATGTTTTTGTAAATATTCAAACACACTTGTAATGCATTGTTTATTTTCATGCATGTGCAGCATTGTGTTGATGCCAACTTAATTTTTACACATGTAGTTATTATACAGTTATATAATAAAGCTCATTTTAATAATTACAATTAGGTATCATGTTTTGATTTAGACAATTTTTGTCTTTTAATGGATTAATATTCTTTAATTATATAATATTATCTATATGTATATAACTGAAATCGGAAATAATTAATAAATTACAGCATATAGTTAGTGTTTATGTTTAGAATTTATGCTTTGTTTTGATTATTTCACTATATAAGTATTATAATTACATTACCTATCAATAATAGCTTTATGATTTTAATAATATATATGCATGGATATTTGACAGTTGTAAACTATTTATGGCAAATTTAAATGAGAATAAGGGATGATGGGACTATGGGATCTAGACTGCAGTTTATTTATTACGTGATTTTACAAAAAAATAAAGCACCATGCAAGAACAATGTATACATATCTTAAATATTTGTAGATATAAAAAGAATGTTTTTTTATATATTTTATATAATTTCTAAACATTTAAAACTATATAATAATAACATAGGTTATTTAAATAGTTATCGATTTGGCAAAATAATTTAAAGGGACTATATAATTTTTTAATTAATATTTTGTGGAAATTAGTATTATTATTGCGTTGGTAATTTTGAGAATTTTTACGATAAAATTGATCGGAAACATGCAGTCAGTTTTGACGTCGGTATAAAATTTCAAAATATCGTACCTACATTATATATATATATATATATATATATATACACCATAAAACCACAATAGAGATACTCATATATTATTGTTGATATTATATTGTATATGCAAAAGTATATAAACCTTTTTTCGGTTCCACCGTGTCATGTTCCAGGCCGGGTGAACTGCTGCTACCACCGCCGCCACTGACTCCGACATCGCCACAGCCGTCTCCACCACCACCGCAGCTAAGGTCTCCACCGATTCCGACTCCACCGCCGCCTCCAACCCCGCAAACATCATCGTCATACTCAGACTTGACCACCACAGATCCGTAGTCGCCATATGGGTACACGATAGGCGCATTGGTGAACTGCTGCAAATCTTGCGGCGTGTGCCAGCTGTACGGTGACATGAGGTAATCGCCGTTGGGTTTGTATGCTGAGTCCGAGTCCATCATCATTTTGACGACCTGCGTTTATATACCTACTACACCGCGGTGATCGACTCTCGTGTGCAATCTATACAGGTAGGTACAACTACGATCGGAATGATATCGACGAAGATCAAAATTACAGTTTGGTATTATATTAAATAGACGTGTTAAAACGCGCGGGACATCGACATCGGTGATGATGTGTGCAGCGTCCGGAGGACAACGTACGTATATGACATGTATGATATTATGTAAACTCCCGAAGGGACTGCAGCAGTCAACGACGACGACGACGACGACGACGACTATATTATAGCTATGAGATCCCGACCGAGAGAAAGATATGGCGGGCGGGTCCTTGAACGTGCTCTAAATTAAGAACTGAACGGAGCGGGGTGGGGGAGCGTCCCGCAGGGTAAGACTTGGACTGTTCGTATATTATATATATATAGTTAATACCCCCCACTCCGTGAAAAATATATTATATTATTTACCATCGTGTGTGTGTGTGTGTGAGTTTGCGCGCGTGTGTGTGTGTACGTATATTGTAATGCCGACCTATGTATATACACTGCACACAGCAGCACGCCGGCGTACATATACATCTGCGCGCGCGGGAGGAGCCTCTCTCGGACTACGGCCGTGATTGATGGCCGACGATCGAGACACCCGGCTTCTCGTATCTTGTCTGAATGCCGCCGCTACCCTTAGGGGCACGCACGTGTGTATGTGTATATAATATATATATATATATATATACATACACAAACACACACACATATGTATATAACGTGTGCGTGTGAGTTTGTGCGCACACCCCTGCCGCGCCGCCATTTCGATGACGACGTTATATACTATACATTATATAATATTATATAGCCCGAGACAACTTCCTTTTCGTTGTCGAGCGACGCCGCCACTACTGCACCGGTTTACACTGTATTTAAACCAATTGGTTCCTAAATCGGACTCGCGTTTCGTTTGCTGCAGCAGGTCGTTCTTCGTGTGCAACAACACTATAATAGTTATACTGCATACATATATCTATCCACGGAGATGCCGAATTACCATCGGCTTCACCCGAAATAATTTCAAGAAACATATATTTTAAGATAATATTATACAGTTACATACGCGCAGCTATTGCTATAGAAAACTTAAAATTAAAAATGTATAGTCCAAAAACACCGGTTAACAAAAGGGTGAAGTAGCGAATTAAGAAAAGTATTTGTTTGCAGAAATGACTGCGAAGAAAATGTAATAAAGTTTCGCTATTGTAATGCTAGTTCTTGAATCCTGATCTAGTTAATTATCATCGTTTTGTAGTTATAAAAGTTTTTAATATATAAATTGTATATATATTATATACATAATACGTATAATGTACAAAGATATCAAACGATCTTATATTTTAAATCTCGTGCCTTATCTTCATGCTATAGAAAACCCGCTCTTGACAGCAGGAATAATACCATATGTGTAATCATGCTGCAATCTTAGACTTGGACGATTTGTGATTACACCTGTAATTAGAGTAAAATAACAATAGATTTTATTGATTTTTACACTCTCATACTTTAATCCTATAGATGAAAATAACAAAAATGTTTGTTCATTAAAATTATATAGAAGCTATTTAGCTATATGTCCTATAATATGTATCACTTGTTATTTGTAGGCGCGACTAGCTGAGGGAAGGGGGATTAATGGGTGCCCTCGCAAAAATGTCGATGTCTATAAAAAGAATGAGAATAACAAGTAAGCTTACTCACTATATAGGTACCTACTCCAACTCTTTGTTGTTATTGTTTGTTGGTTTTTAAGGTTTTTATGGAAGGTGTTCTATTTTTCTTGCTAATTATTATGATGAGCGTCTCTATGATTCCTTTATCTTGGTTTCTAAAAGGTTATGAAGTATTTAAATTAAAGTAATTATTCATTGGTAGACTGAAGTCAGTTGAACAGAGCGAAAGCAATCATGATCATACAACTTATTTTATATCTATATTAATTTAAGATTTACACAAAATTTCTTTACGTATTGTATATGTATTGATTCAACTTAACTTTAATATTTAGGCATAGAAAATCTACTTGCATTGTGTCATTACCATGTCATTAAATTATATAGTAATCAATTTGTCGATAAATAATTTTGTATGCGATATTAAGTATTCTAGAAATTTATCTCCTAATATACATATTTATAAATTATAATATTTATGATATCATACAGAAAATTTTTTAATTATTATAGTACTTAATTCTACCTCAAGTCTAATATTTAGCATTTACACTTAATAGGTAAGATATACAAAACATAGTAACAATATTACTAAGCAGAAAATTCACAACATTGTTTATTTCTATGCAAATAAAAAAAAAAAATCTCAATCAAGCTTAACCGTATAACATATATAATATATATACATGTCCACGTACATGGAATACCTGAATAGATATATTAAATAGAATACTAAAATAATACATGATTTTTCATATAATGAGACAATTGATAGACATTTGATGATTTAATTAGAAAATTATTATAATTCATTGGTTATTGTATCATAATAATACATACATATCGTTCATTCGCCCCACTGTATGAATAAGAAAAGATTACTATTATTTAGTAAGTAAATTTCTGTATGTACAAAAAAAATATTATTGTTCTACGTTTTTTTGGCTTCTCACCAAAACATTAAATAGTCTTAAATTTATTTATTTTATGAATGATTTAAAAATGTATATAATATGACGTAGTTATCGAAAAAATTAAGAAAATACCTTGAGTTTTTTAAAATTATGTATATTTATTTGTATTTAATATATTATATGATTTATAAGTACCAATTTTAATCATCATAAATGCATTATGATTAAAAAAATTAAATATATAAAAAATTTGATAAATAAAAAGATTTTATTTTTATTTTGCATATGGCTAGATAATTAGATGATATTATAATATATTTAGTTTAAATAGTGCCTGTGTTATGGAGTTATTAATATTTTAATACTATATAAAAGTGTATACAATGTATGCGAATCATCGTGCTATATTAAAATCATGAATTTAATAAATGTTAAATAAAAAAATAAAAAATAAAAATTTATTAATTTATTTATTTAATTTCTATAAATTAAATTAAATTTAGTTTTTTCATTATTTATTATTATTATTATACACCTATTTTGTTTTTATAACTACATAATTAGTATATATTATTATACTATATTATAGTTTAACTAATTTAAGTAATAAGTAAGTTTAACATATTACAATTATGTACCTATTATACCTATAATTTTTAATTTATGGTTAAAAAATCTATAAGAACTTGTACTAATATTCTTAAAAAAAAAAAAAAATGTTAGTTTATTATGCATTATTTATTAAAGAGGGCCTCAAAAAACAGTATAATAAAGTATTAAAGTATATACGTACATAAATTTTAAATTAATATAAACAATACAGTATATGATTCATCAATAAATAAATAATAATAATACTAAATATTAGTATATAATGCATACATTATTAATTTTAATTCATAGTAATATGAAAAATATTTTATAAAATATTTATTTGTAAAATCAAGGTTATTTTATATTTAAAATATTGGTATTATAATTAAAAAATATTTAATGTCCGATTAAAATACATATTACTATATTAAATATTGACAAAACATCCGATAGTTTCATGAATGGCGAATAAATGTATTTAATTCTTACCTTTAAAGGTGTACAGGTACAAATCAGGTGGGCCAATCAGAGTAATTTTGTCAGCCATCTTTACCTTCATACCTGTCCTGTACTTCAAGTAGGTATTATAACTATTTCTGTTGAGTATAATTTATCCAATGACACACATTTTCGAACCCCTTGTAGGATATGGTTAAAATGATTTTCAAATTACAAAGGGAACCCCCGTGCAGAGGGTCAAACATAAAACATGTTATGTTTTTATATTATACTCGGCATATTTGTATTATAATAAAATATGAACGCATAAGTGCATCTTTCTCGATCTCCGTCTTACTACCTCTCTCTTTCTCATTTCCTTTCAAATTCTAAGAAACATTGTTCGGGTCAAAAATAACCCTAAAACTGACCTTCAAACCAACTGGAAAAAGAATGAAAGAATGTTTGGTGTTATTCTTAAGTTATTCTTAATAAAAAAAATAATGTAAAATAAAATATAAATTTATAATATTAGACATAAATTATTATGTAATTGTTACATGTTTATTGTATAAGACATTAATTTTTATTAAAAGCAACAATAAAAGTTTTAATTTAAAAGTTATTTTATCTGTTTTTATAGTTTAACGTGTAGACAACATTTATTCATTTATTTGAGGTACCTAGAGCAACATTAGCCTTTGCAGGGGTTTCTTCTTCGAACGACTCATATGATTCAGATCCCGATTGCGATTCATAAGATTGATTATTATCAATATTTTCTTTTTTGACAGTAGGGAGCTTTTTGTCAATTTTATCATTATTTGAAGTTTGAGATTTTTTAGAGTTGTCTTTTTTAATTTCTTTATCAGATTGTTCGTAACTATCATAATATTCAACAGTTTCAGATGATAGTTCAACGAATATTTGGTCTTTTGTCTTATCCATTTTGTATGCCGTTTGTTTAGTATTAGGTTTTGGTTGTAATTGATTACTGTTTAAATTAATATTTTGTTGTTCATTAAGATTAGCACTTGGTGTTTTTCTAGCAACACCACATTTATTAGATTTAAAATTTCGAGGTGAAGCTTTAGTTAATGTGTTTTCTGTCTGAGCTGTCGCTGATAGTTTAGTACCTTGTAGCAATGGTAAATTTGGATCTTCGTTAATTATAGTGACATATTTAAGTTTTAAGTTGTCAGCACCGTTTTTCTTTTGATGTTGCAATATAAGATTTAAAAGATCATTAGATTCTTTAGATGAATTTGGAATTTTTTCTTTCATTTCATTTAACGCTATTACTAATGTATTCTGAAGACTTAAATAAAAGTTATTTAAGTCTGACAAATTGTTAAAGATTTTTGCTTTTAGATCCTTGAGATTTTCTTCTTTAATAAACGGATATTTTTCAATAATTATTTCAACAATTTTTCTCCAAATCTAAATAAATAAAATATTAATGATTTTTAACAAAAATATTTTAAAGACTTAAATTTGTTTGAAATATTATATTGTTTTTAAATAAAACTTAATATATTTATCAAATTCTATAATTCAATCAATCGTTATATCTACTTAAATATTTTTTCCAAAGAATGAGTAGGTAGTTACCATATATTTCTTATTTTCATCTGAAGTATACAATTTTGAAGGTCTTGATGTTTGTTTCTATTAACAAATAAATGTACAAAAATTATAGCAACATTTTAATATTTTTAATATTATAACAACTATTAAACTTCAAAAGTAAGAACAAATTCCACTAGGCACTATTTTAAATTCTAAGCAAAGTAGGGAATACAATGGAAAATTGGGTTTATAATAAAATATATTCTTTATTTTTATCATTTAAACTTCAACTTTAAATGTGGTTTCCAGTCGTAAAGTTGATATATTGGAAGATCAAGTATGTTTATTGGATATAAGCAAAACAACAGTTTTTGATTTGATTTTTTTATTGAAATTTAAAAAAGAATAACTGTTGATACGAGATATTTGAACTGAATATTTATAAGAGATTTTTCTAAACAATATAACTTATAATTATTAATTATTATTAATATATCAAAAATACGTAGCTACAAATTGTATTTTATAAGCATTTGAAATTAAAATTTTGGCAAAATTAGATACGTTAAACAAAAAAAAAACCAATTATATTCTAGTGATTTTAGTTATTTTTTATATTCAGTAAAATATTCACCTTAGATAATTGAAATGTTGAAGCTTTTCGTCATTAATTTTCAACTATTTAGATATGAATCTCTTGCACTATCTTAAATAATATTTCTACAATATGTTCATTGTCGTGTATATTAACGCATACGTTAATGTAACAATAATAATGTATTATAATATTTGTTTAACAAATTTAAAAATACACGACTGTGAATTATAAGTGAAATAAATATACATTTTATTTTTTAGCCTTGTAAGATTATCACTATACAAATTATACTAGGCGATTACTTATTAGTTTTAAAAATTAAAATATGGAATTTCATTGAAAACAATAAAATTTTAATTTAAAAAATATAAACTAATAATCATATAAAATCGAAATTAAAAGATAAATCAGTTAATAAATGGACGATTAAACTTTTAAAAATGTATAATATAGGGCACATAACATTTTTTTGAATAAAATTACTATTATAAGATTATAATTTACAGTGTTTTCATGTTTTCCGTACAAATTTAGAGTGTTAGTGAATTAGTGAATTGAATCAAAGCCCTACTTAGGGTGTGACGATAATATAATTTTTAAGAGTATATAACTTTAAATATAAATTGCTTAATACATTTTAATGGAAAATTGAATTCCCAATTCTTATTTTCCTAGAAATTATTTATTTTGACAAGTCAAACGACTCCACGTGTTTTCGTATTAAATGTCAGAGTCGTATCATTTATTATAAAATCTCAAAAATAATGTAACGTATTACAATAGAGTTTTTGAGGGATTTAATTTATTCTTCTTGAATAATTATTATTTTAAAATGTTTAATATTATATAAGACAACGTATCTACTTAAAAAACTCACGATCATAAAATAGGTTTTAGATTAACTATTTTGAGATTGTTTCAATTTTGTACAGATTAACATGGATAGTGAATACACTGTATATCTGTTTTAAGTAATATAAATACACAAAATTAAAATCGTAATTGTATTTACCAATTCTTGGATAACATTGTTATTTTTTAATGAAATGTCTATATATTCGTCGCTTAAATCGCGACCGATGCCATCAAAAACATAAATCACCGGTGGCGCACACTTGCAAATTCCATTTTCACAATAACCAAAGTCGAATCCATTATGCTTGAAGTAACAACGAGCTTTACATATTGATTTAAAGCAACTGCTACAGACTAAATTATAGAACATAGTTTTTATTAAATTAAATTTTAATATTTGTTATTTAGAATTTAATTATTAAAAAAATCGGGTAACTTTGTTCTTTTGTATAAATGTTATCGAGTACACCTTATACGTGGCTACAAACCTATCCGTAATTTAATAGATCACAAATTACTGTAATAGATGTCTTAAACTAATCGATTGAATGTTAAATCATATTGTTTACCTATTTGAAAAGACTAGAAAAACCTATTCTAAGCGAAGTAAGCTAGTAAATAAATTGTTGTCTCTAAAAATATTTTATGATATATTAAAGTATATTTAAATTATTATACTATGTTTTTGATTTTTAATTTGGTAGGTGGTAGCAGAATGAAGTAATTTTTTCCAAAAATATCGTTTATCAAACTTACTTTAAAATGGTGAAAACAGGTTTGCTAAAATAATTTTTAAATCACCTATAATATGTCTAATTAATATTTTATGAAAGTTTGAAGTCTCTATGATTATTTCTTTTTAAATATTATTGTAAAAAAACAATCGATTTTGTCCAAAACTAGTGTTGCGTTAATATTTCTATTTACATCTTTTTTTATTTTTTTCCCCTAAATATTAAAAAATATACTTAGCCTTCCAAAGTATTAACTAGTTTAAATTTTCTAATAGAAATCAACCTAAAAGTTACGAGTTGAAGTAAATTGTCTACTCTAAAACGCGAAAATAGATATAAAAAAATGTTATAGTTTATAAGTACCTATATATATTTCTAAGCACAATAATTATTATGCTATTACAGTAGATTATAATAATACAATTATGTATATTGCTTTATTGCATGGTATGAAATTTTGTTCAATGTAACTTATAAAATGTTTCTAAATTTCATGTACCTATAATTCATAATATATTACATTATATATATATAAATTATAAAATTGTATTTAAGCACAATTTTTATTATACATTTTTAATTAGCAATTATAATTTAATTATACTTTGTTAATTTCAATAGTTAATACATATACTTTTTTTGATACGAATGATCCAAATAATAATAGTCCCTAGTAGTAATAGTATGCATAATATACTATTCATTTAAAATCATATACAATAGTTACTCAATTTGTCTTTAATTTAATTTATTTTAATTTCTGAGAAAAAAAATATTGAAGTTTAATAATTTCATCTATAATTAAAAAATCTTACATGTCACGTTGATAATCAGTATACAGCATATCGTTTTTAGCATATATAATTGCATTGCTTTATTCATATTATTATTATATTAAACTAACTTAAGAATAATCAACCAGATTATCACTAAAAACTGTTTTGAACATTTGAGCAGTTAGAAATATGAAAACTTTTAAATATTATTTAAAATTTGTTTTTTTAATAATTAGTATTGGTATAGATAATTAAACTAAGTCTGTCATTTGCACATTTTTCGTTTAAAATAATTATCTCGACACAATTGTGAACTACACTGAAATGTTTTATTTTTATTTGTATGACATTGCGTGCATTTCGTTTCCGTTTAATAATAGGAACATTTAAGTATTTGCTAATTTATTATAAGTGGTAAATTATGAAAAACTATTACAAAATAAATATTTAAATCCCTATACAATACCGAATTATACAACATAACCATTATTTTTCCGGAACCTCATTTTTCGTGACAAAAATTCATAAAAGATTTCACATAATAACATAATCATTATATTAACTTAGTATAAAACATAGTTTTACAAGGCAATGCGGGCAATGCAACCCATAGAACAAGAAATCCATATTTCATTTTAGATTGCTTGGTACCTTAATCTATGGTGACCGATATAATTCCATTATTTATCTTTGGAAATTTGAACATTTTTTTTTTTATATTGAACTCTGAATTTGCGTCTTAGACCCTAGCATATTACTATGTATATGAGTTTTTTAATCATTATTTTCATATCAGCTTGTTCTTTTTGGAACTCTGAGAGCAGAGTAGAGATCCGAATAGTGTTACCTGTTACCATATGTTACAACAACTGTCAAGTACAACTATGTAAGCTACAATAATAACTTTTGAAATAAACAATAAGAATAATTATTGTATTTTAATGTTTAATACAAATCGGAAGTAGGTATACCTATATATCAGTAATAATTGGTAAATCGGTTCAATTTTCATTTCCAAAAATAATAAAATATTTAACCTGAGTATTACATTTTATTTTAATTTGATAAATTTAAAACTATATTAACAATTAACACAAGAACATGATAGGTGTCAGCAGTATAAATAACAATAATTATAATTAAAAAGATTATAGATATCACAGACAATGTTTAGTTTTTATATTCTTACTCTATGGTTTTTACTTATTGTGTAATCGTATTCATATCAATTTAAATATCATATGTCTAATATAATTTAATATAATACTTTTGTAACAAAATAATAATAGTCATGAACAAAAAGAAATCCAGAGAATTCGTAATAAATAAATTCTCCGTAATCGGAAATATCATATTAATAAGTATAACCACTATACTATAGATACTCAATACTTATATTTGAAGTATTTAGTACTTAATATTCGATACATTAAAATAAAATAAGTAAATATATAGACTATAGTCTACAATAATTAATACTCAATAAGTAATTTAATGTATAATAATTATTATTATTCATGTACATTTTTGGACGGCCAGTATAAACTTCAGTCATAACTTAATAATAATTACAATAATACTATGTATTGAATTATTTTAATGAAAATAATTGTGATATGTTATATTATTATTATTATTATTATTAATATTATTTAAAAAAAATTCAAGATTATTAATTTATTATATGTCTATAAACGTCAATACATGTACAGATATCTTTAATAGCATACAGCAAATTTCCGTTCGACGTGTTAGTCGAGAGTGTATCAAAGAGTTGTAAAACATAATGATTGACGAATCTTTGTCTAAAATAATAATACTAATCGTAGTCTGGCCTACATATCAATAACATCAAACACGACAATAATAAAAACAAAAAGGTAGGTAAGTGAGTATCGCTCTGCTCAGTGGCGGATTTAAGGGGGGTCAGAGGGACCTGGGCTCCCCTTGGCCCATAAGATGTGTAAGAATATAACTGTAATGTAAAACTTATAAACACGATTCACAAAATCAGGTTTATTATTATTATTATTATTATTATTATCTTTATTGACGGAAAAAACTGGTGTACTTCGTTCAGTGCATTGCTTTTTGTGTGTTATAATATATAACAACATGTTTAATGCTTTATATCAACTTCAGCACTCTTGTCATTGAAAATTGTGCATATTTAAATACTTTATATAACGATTTATTTATAATTAATATATTTTCATTGTATGCTTTATTTCCTTACACTATCACATTTATGCCTTATTTATCACTAATATAACATTGTTAACGAACAGATTTGTTTTTATAGCTATGCTTGTAGTCTTTAACAATTAATAAATCTTTAGTTTAAATCTTATATTTACACGAGTTTCTTATTTAAATGAATATTGTATAGTTTATTTAACTGTAATAATCTTTTTAGTAATTATAGTTTTGATTGTCAAGGAAAAATCTATACAGTCATACCATCTATTAAGTTAATTAGTTAACCAACAGATCATATAACTCCAGGGTTAGTGAATATAAGAAAGTATCTACAAAGTGCATCATAGTATCTTTTAAATATTTATTTATTTAGAATAATTCTGGCCATTTGAAACGTAACACAAAATGTATTGCAGATTTTGTTTTTCTGATATTTAGCTACTAATATTCACTAAATGTATAATCTACAATATTAAGCTAAGTTAGGAAAGTAAGTAAAGCCAAATCTAAAGTAAAGTAGTAGATATAGCTCAGGTAAATACAATGCACACTTTTATTCAACTATGATTAATATATAAATATATGTTTATATTTTAATAAATATTATTTTACAAAATTAAGTTGTTATTTCTACTTTGATTATGAACATAAACCTTCTAACTTTCAATTTACAACAATTTATTCTTCAACTAAATTTCTATTACTTCATTTATATGACAAAATCAGAAAGTCTACAAAACATGTTTCAATACTTGTTATATTATTTTAATTATAATTATAAACTAATAAACTATTTGATTATTATTTGTTATATTTATTAAATTAATAAAAATATTTTGTGGAGTAAAAATAATGGGTTCCACCATTTTAAAGCAACTAAAATAATATCGCAGTAATGTAAGTGGGTATTAGCGCCATGTGCAAGATAAAGATAAACACCATTAGTATGTGCTTTATCTCATTCTATGTATCCTCTTTCGGGCAACTTTTCTTGTTGACATTCAGTTATCATATAGAGTTCTAATG